ACCAAGATGTCCTTCAGTAGATGAATGGATAAACTGTGGTATGTTTAAAAAATGGAATATTATTCAGTGCTAAAAGGAAATGAGCTATCAAGCCATGAAAAGACATGGAGGAAGCTTAAATGTTTACTACTAAGTGAAAGAAGCCAATCTAAAAAGGTTCCATAAAGTATGATTCCAACTATATGAAATTCTAGAAAAGGAGAAACTATGGAGACAGTAAAAAGACAGTGATTGCCAGGGGTTGGAGGGAGGAAGGGATGAATAGGCAGAGCACAGAGGATTTTTAGGGCAGTGAAACTATTCCATGATCCTATAATGGTAGATACATGTCATCATGCATTTGTCAAAACCCATAGAAAGTACAACACCAACAGTGAACCTTAATGCATAAACTATGGACATTGGGTGACAATGATTTGTCATTGTAGGTTCTTCAATTGTAACAAATGTACCACTCTGGTACCAGATTTTGATAGTAGGGGAGGCTGTGCATATGTAGGGGCAGGGAGTATATGTGAAATCTCTGTACTTACTGCTCAATTTTGCTGTGAACCTTAAAATGCTCTAAAAAATAATTTATTTAAGGGGCCGGCCCTGTGGCCTAGTGGTTAAGTGCGCACGCTCCACTACTGGCGGCCCAGGTTCAGATCCCGGGCACGCACCAACGCACCACTTGTCGGGCCATGCTGAGGCGGTGTCCCACATACAGGAACTAGAAGGATGTGCAACTATAACATACAACTATCTACTGGGGCTTTGGGGAGAAAAAGGGAAAAAAAGGAGGAGGATTGGCAATAGATGTTAGCTCAGGGCCGGTCTTCCTCAGCAAAAAGAGGAGGATTGGCCTTGATGTTAGCTCAGGGCTGATCTTCCTCACACACACAAAAAATAGTTTTTTTGATCTTCCTCAAAAAAAAAAAAAGTTTATTTAAAGGGGAAAAAAATGTATAAGGGATCTGAATAGATATTTCTCAAAATAGATATACACATTGCGAATACGCACGTGAAAGATACTTGACATCATTAATCACTGCAGAATTGCAAATCAAAACCATAATGAGATATTACATAATGCCCACTAGAATGGCTGTAATAAAAAAGACAGACATGGATGAATGGATAAACTAAATGTGATATATATATACAATGGAGTATTATTCAGCCTTAAAAAGGAAGGAAATCCTTCTTGAGGACATTATGCTAGGTGAAATAAGCCAGTCACAAAAAGACAAATACTGTATGATTCCACTTATATGAGCTATCTAAAGTAGTCAAATTCATAGAAACAGTAGAATGGTGGTTGCTGGGGGCTACGGGGAGGAGGAAATAGGAGTTGTTGTTTAATGAGTATAGAGTTTCAGTTTTGCAAGATGAAAAAGTTCTGGAGAGCTGTTTCACAACAATGTGAATATACTTAACACTACTGAACTGTACGCTTAAAAATGATTAAGGTGGTAAATCTTATGTGCTTTTTGTCATAGTTAAAAAGAAAAATTTTTTTGAGAAAGAGAGACAATAATAGCTTTGGCAAAGATGTGGAGAAATTGGAACACGCACACAGTGCTGGTGGGAATGTCAAATGGTATATCCCCTCTGGAAGGCCTTTTGGCAGGCAGTTCATCAAAAGGTTAGGCAGAGTTATGACCCAGTAATTCCGGTCTTACATATATACCCAAGAGATATGAAAACATATAGCCACACAAAAACTTGTACATATATGTTCATAGCAGCATTATTCATAAGAGCCAAAAAGTGGAAACAACCCAAATGTCCATCAACTGATGAATAGACAAATAAAATGTGCTATGTGTGAGCAGAGTGGTGCAGTGCAAGTGTGCTGGGCTCATAACGCAGAGGTCAGTGGATTGAAATAAAATGTGATCTATACATACAATGGAATATAATTCGCCATAGAAAGGAATGAGGTACGGATACATACTACAACATGGATGATTCTTTTTTTTTCTTTTTTGTGAGGAAGATCAGCTCTGAGCTAACATCCATGCCAATCCTCCTCTTTTTCCTGAGGAAGACCGGCCCTGAGCTAACATCTATTGCCAATCCTCCTCCTTTTTTTCCCTTTTTCTCCCCAAAGCCCCAGTAGATAGTTGTATGTCATAGCTGCACATCCTTCTAGTTCCTGTATGTGGGACACCGCCTCAGCATGGCCCGACAAGCGGTGCATCGGTGCACGCCCAGGATCCGAACCTGGACTGCCAGTAGTTGAGCACACGCACTTAACCGCCAAGCCACGGGGCTGGCTCCAGATGATTCTTGAAAACATTATGCTAAGCAAAAAAAGCCAGACACAAAAGGCCACATATTGTATGAATCCATTTATATGACATGCCCAGGATAGGTAAATCCATAGAGACAGAAAGCAGGTTATCGGTTGACAGGGGCTGGGGAAGAGAGAGTAATGGGGAATGAAATAATGGGGATGAAAATGTTCTGGAATTAGAAGGTAGTGATGGTTGCACATTTTGTAAACCACTAAAAACCACTGAATTATAAACTTTAAAAGGATAATTTTATGGTATGTGAATTATATCTCATTTTTTTTTAAGAAGGTTAAAAAAAAAAAGAAATACATCTAAAACATGGACACAGGGAGAGTCACCAGGCAGATAATATCCTTGAATATGACTCCACTTGTACCTATAGTCTGGTAAGACTGGATAAACTCAGGGTACATACTGTACTATTATTTCATTTTTCTTAAATTGTAAAAATACTAAATATTAAAATGTTAAAGTTTAGCTTGCAAAAAGAGAAAAGTAGCCATAATCTCACCACGTACTAGAACAATTGTTTCCTTTTTCCCCATATGTTCTCTGATTGATGACGACTTTTTCCCAAACATGACTAAAATAAGAATGACTAAACATGACTAAAAAGCTACTACATTCCTTGGGCTAAAGCCTCCCAGTAGGTAGCAATACGTTTTTCAAAAAGAAGATTAGCATGGAGAATCTTGTCAAACAAGGCTCTACCTGTCTGGATTAAGGAAACTACTCCGAGCTCTGGCGCTCTTACCTTCTGAGAAGCTACCAAATTATATGAAAATTCTGTTTGAAAATTTCATCGTGTCCTTTGCATTTCCAAGAATAAAGCCATTTTTTTAATAACTGGAAAAAAAAAAGATAATGTCTCTGTCTTTTTTTTTTTTTGCTGAGGAAGACCGGCTCTGAGCTAACATCTATTGCCAATCCTCCTCCTTTTTTCCCCCAAAGCCCCAGTGGATAGTTGTATGTCATACTTGCACATCCTTCTAGTTGCTGCTGGGACGCAGCCTCAGCATGGCCAGAGAGGCGGTGTGTCGGTGTGCGCCCGGGATCCGAACCCCGGGCCGCCAGCAGCGGAGCATGGCGCACTTAACCGCTAAGCCACGGGGCCTGCCCCCAGGTCTCTGTCTTAATCAAGAAACAAACCTTTAAATTGAGGAATTCCTAGTTCGGAGAAATTCACTATGTAACATTAAAACCTCTAAGACACAGCTAAAGCAAATATGTAACCAATTATTGGCATGAATACCCAAACTTTGCTAGGTGAGCACTCCTCATTGTATAACTGCACAATCTCCCCTGCTATTTCTTAGAGTCTCCAGATGAGGTCTCTGCCCAGCTTCCTCACTGAAGGTCGCAGCCTATAAAACTACCTGCAGCTGGTTCCTCAAGATGTGCTCGCTCCCTAGCCATGTCCTCCTTGAAAATGCTGCCCCACTGTGGGTTTGGGGACGTTGGTGCTGAAGGGAGTGTGATATTGGCCAAACTACTTGACCTCCTAAGCCTCAGTTTCCTCATATGTAAAATAGTAGTGGTAATACCACCCAGTCGGGTTTTAGTGAGAATTGTATTAGCCAATGTGTGTGATGTGCTTAGTTCGATAAACTAAGGCTGTTATTATTATGATCCAAGGATGCATTAAAAAAAGTCACCTCCAAACCACCCACCCACCCCTTCTCTATTTATCTACATGGTGAGTTCATAAGGCGACTGCCAGTTTCAGATAACATTCTGCTTGGTCTTCTATGGGTGAGACCAAGAGACCATCCAAGTGCCTCGTAGATAATAGGACCCAGGAAACATTTCCTGAGTAAAGAATAAAAGGAGCCTCAAATTCCTTTGCTTAAAGAAAAGAGTTTTGAGGATTTTTTTTCCTGCTTATTAAAGTAACAGATGAAAATTTTTAAAAATTATTTTAAAACAATATATATACTACATCATAGAAAATTGAAAAGTAAAGAAAAAAGCACTCATATTCCTACCTCCCAAGGGGCCATCTAGCATATTTTGGCATGTTTCTTTTTCATTTTTCTTACATTGTTGAGCTAATATTATACTTTATATAATTTGATATCCTGTATTTTTTTACTTAGCACATTATAAGCATTTCATTTAATGTTTCATAAATAATTTCAATGGATGAATAATATTTTACTATATGGGAATATTTAATTAACTATTTCCCCATCAATATATTTTTAGGGTGTTTCCAATTTCCTATTGCAAACTACATTTTCTGAGTTTCAGAAACATACATGTATGTTTATATACATGTATATTGTGAGCTCATAAAAGAATAGAAACATGTGTGGGTGGGTGGGTGCCTTTGGGCACAGGATTGCTGGGATGGGGCAAAGATTTGCACTTGTATGTTACATACTTCTGTACTGTTTAAATCCTTTACTGCAAGCAAGGATGACTTTTGTAATTAAATGTTTAAGCAAAGGGAGGGAGGAAGGGAAGGGAGGGAGGGAGGAAGGGAAGGGAGAGAGGGAGGGAGGGAGGGAGAAAGGAGAGGAAATCCTTGCACCAATTCGATTTGTAAAGAGCCTGGCAGATCAAAAGCCACTAAGTAATATGTCTCCTTATTGTCTTCTCTCTTTTGTAGAACAAAGAAAAGTACAGACCCATAAATAAGAAAGTAGGTGCATTCGGGATTTAATTTATCTGAGCAAAAAGAAGTAGTAAACTGCAGACTATCCCAGCCCAACTTACTGATCGATTTTGGATTCTGTAGTGTTTCCAGCTTTGTCTTTCAGTTTGATTGTAATGGACCCTCTTCTTATGTTCTTGTTCCAAGTTATAATATCCACAAAGTAATGATATACTGCAAAACAGGGAGAGAACACGGTAAGAGAGACATTCTCAACTGCTCCCCTGAATGGTCAGTTGCTAAAAATCCTACCTCCCTAATAACTGAGTCTCTTTTCCTCTTCTTCTCTAGTTGCGCTGCAAAGATCCAGGGCAGAATTTTCTAATATTCCTTTCTATTCTCTTTGTTAAAGGTGGCCTGAGTGATGGCAGAATTCAATGGCACCAAGTCGCCATGTTCGGGCATCATAGTTGGATCAGCGTTCCTACCTTACTGACTGAGGTTACATGGCCTACTGCTGAGTATGACTGTGTCACTTCAATCCCAGCCCATGTTACAATAAACCAACCAGGTGGCCATGTAGAGACCCTCCACGGCTGACAAGTTCTTCCAAAATCTGGGCCACGTCCACCAGCCTACCCAGCCTCCCTCAGCTCTTCCCTAGTCATGCCACACCACCTGTACCACTGCACTGCCAAACTCTCTTTTGCTCCTGGGCCCTCCTCCTACTTGGACACTCTTACTTTGCCCCCTTTGCCAAGTCATCCTTCAGGTTTCAGCTTAATGTCCCTTCCTCCAGGAGGCCTTCATTGACCGTCAGACTAAGTCAGGTCTCCCTCTTGGAGTTCTTATCATGCTCTGGTGTTCTCCCATCTTTAGTCAGCACACTTTATTGTATACAAAATGCAATAAAAAATGATATTCAAAAAAGTGGTAAGTGTATGGGTACATCTATACAAATATTGCCTGAGTAATGTCTTGTGGAGTTAAAAAAAAATTAAACTAGGGGCCGGCCCAGTGGTGTAGTGGTTAAGTTCGTGCGCTCCACTTCGGCGTCCTGGGGTTCGTAGGTTCAGATCTTGGGCACACACCTATACACCACTGGTCAAGCCATACTGTGGCGGTGTCCACATACAAAATAGAGGAAGATGGCCACAGATGTTAGCTCAGGGACAATCTTCCTCAAGCAAAAAGAGGAAGATTGGCAACAGATGTTAGCTCAGGGTCAATCTTCCTCACCAAAAAAAAAAAAAATTAAACTAAAATACACTACAAAAATAACTGGGAAGGAATGATTATTCCTTTTTGTAATTCCAGCAGTAAAACCTTATAGGCACCCAATAAATTCCCACTGAATAAATGAGAGCACATGATGTCTTCAGAGAACTATTTTTCCTCCCTACTCTTTGGTCAAGGATGCTTTGGGAAGATGGGGATCCCACCATGATAGTCAGATTTGCCATCTCTTGGTCAGACTTGCGGAGAAGGGGAAAGAGGCTCAGGGAGATGATGGTCCCACAAAGGAACAAGGTCAGCCCTGGAGTGGCCATTTCATGGCCCATTATTGCTCAGGGATTTGCCCCATTTGGACTGGGCAGACACCAAACCCGGGCTGGCACACATAGCTCCAACAGAGGAGGGAAACCCAGTGATCTGCCGCCTCTTTTATAAGTGTTTCTCCCAAGAAAAGTGAAAAGGGGAGCAAGATTGCAAGACATACATCTGGCCGGGAAAATTCATACTTGCTTCCCAGGGCATCTTATCATCTGCTGCCCCATTTAGCTTCCATCTGCTGTACTGAACCTCTCATTGTCTTCAGAAGGTCATCATGGTTGTTTTGGAGCTGGAACTGACTTATATGTGTGACTGACACCTGATTTTTCCTAGCCCCAATCTCATGTCTCTTGGAAATCAAGCAATTTTCTGGAAGATCTTAGTGATTAGAAGGGCCATCCAGTGACACTAACAACTATGATTTGTTGAGATTTTTAATCCTTATAACCCAGAAGACAGGCATTATCATCCCCATTTTACCTAGCAGACATTGAGACTCAGAGAAGTTAAATGTCTTAACCAAAGTCACACAGCTATTAAGTGGTGGAGTCAGGATTTGACCTAGGTCATTCCCACTCCAAAATCCATGCTTCCCCATGGCCTTCATTTGCCAAGAAGTAGCCAGAAAGCTGAGACTCAGCCATTCCACAAATAGAAGGGATGGGCAAAAGCAAACAACCACATTCACCACTCACTGCAGAACGGTTTCTCCTCAGCAGTGTCAAAGAATGCTTTCGTCATAGGAGGATCTTGCTCCCTTAAATAGTCTTTCCAATTATCAGCATAATAGCCTATAACACAAGTTGGAGAAGTGTCACATTAACATGTGTCATATAAATGTAAAAGCAATCGGGGAAGTAGTGAGAACAGCTAGTTTGATTCCACCACCACCAAGGTAATCGCTTTGGTACCCATCCCACGGTGAGGAGCTGCAGGGCCACCAGGACAGTGCCTCCCCAGCACCCACCATACCTTGCTCACTACCCGATGCCTAAGAACTGGGGCTTGCTTAAGGACCCTATGGTGGCTTTTCTCCCTTTCTACTGATGTTACATCACCCAGCCCTGGTTCTCAGTAGCAGGGCTGGGGGAATGAGGAGTGGCACACACTGGCTGGACTAAAAATAGGGCAGATATTTTTCAGTAATATATTCATTTTATAGGTTAAAATAGATTCAGGTTTATACCTAGAATAGCATCACTCTTGCAAAGTGATGTGCTTTCTTTTTTTTTTTTATAATTTTATTTATTTATTTATTTATTTTTTCCCCCAAAGCCCCAGTAGATAGTTGTATGTCATAGCTGCACATCCTTCTAGTTGCTGTATGTGGGACGCGGCCTCAGCATGGCCGGAGAAGCGGTGTGTTGGTGCGTGCCCGGGATCCAAACCCGGGCCGCCAGCAGCAGAGCGCATGCACTTAACCGCTAAGCCACGGGGCCAGCCCTGATGTGCTTTCTTAAAGAACTACTATTGGGCCCCTAAATTGCACAGAACCTGGGCTTGCCATGTGATTAGGTCAACAAGCAGGGGAATGTCCTCCTTCATGTCTGTGCCTGCAGGAATGAGGTCGAGTGCCATCAGTGGGGCCTCTCTCCTCCATCCCCACCCATAGAGAATGGCCTCCACATTCTGATTTAATTGATCTGGAGTGGGACCCAGGCATTGGAATTTTTTAAAAGCTCCCTAGATGATTCTAGTGCACAATCAAGGTTGAGAACCCCTTGTCTATGGCATGTCCTGATATTAACTCGAGTTTTTCCCTGGGGAACAATTAGAAAATTCTCATGACCATCCAGTATCAAAGTCCTCACCACCTGGAATATTTCTACTAATCTTTAGCAAATATCCAAGGAGCCTCCACAGTATCCATTACCCCATCCCACCCCCAAGATGTGCACACGAGAGCCAGCGTGTGGTGTGAGGGCATTTGCAGACACAACTTGCTGGAAGGGACCACCATGCAAGACTCATCTGACAGGAGAGTCTCCGGACTCACTATGACCCTCCCTCAGCAGAGAGGTTGTGTGCACGGAGTGGGTGTTCTGTCCCCATGGGAACAGGCTACATAGGTGACTGTGCCCTGGGTGGGCTTGGAAACTCTTCTGGAACCTTCTTTTCCATGCTAGAATAGAGTGTCCGGGGAGATTGCACTACCTTTTGTATGAAATTCTATACAGACTACTTTTCTCACACTTTATTATTAGGAGACCCCAGAATACGTCATAGAACAAATTGGCTAGAAAAAGCTGACTAAATAAATTTTTTAAAAACACACAATTTTCAGGCCCATTTTTAGAGAGTAAAATGGTGCTAGGATTCTACCAAAAATTAGCTCTTCATTAATCAGAGGAGGGAACCGCTTGTTGGACTTACCCAGAAGTGGACAGGACTCCTTTTGTGGCATGTCACACTTGACACACTTGCCATTCCTGTAATCCCGGTAGGAGTCACAGGGATATGCAGTGATAGCACAGTTCTCTCTCAGGGAAGAAAGGTACAGGTACACGGACCTCTGGTGGTCACACTTAAAATACTGCAGTCCTTGGTTATAAGGGAAATGATTAAAGAGTAGAGCAGTTGTAGCATTTAATAATAGTGCCTCACGTATTGTGCACACACACAACTTATCATCTGTCTCCTATATGCCAGGCGCTGTGCTGACAGCTTCAGTGTATTTGATTCCATTTCATCCTTATAAAGACCTATAGATCAGGATTCATGCTGGCAAGTGGCAGGAGAAAAGAAGATAGGCATGATTATCCCCATTTTACTTAGTAGGACATTGAGACTCAGAGAGGTTAAATGACTTGATCAAGGTCACACAGCTATTATGTGGTAGAATCCAGATTCGACCTATGTCCTTTGTCAGTGAAAAGGAGGAAAAAAATTCAATGGTAGTCAGAGATTCCCCAGAGGTTTTCAGCAGAAGGCAGGCATGTTCAAACTAGTCAAGACATCAGAGAAAGAAGGCATTGGGGAGTAACTGGTAAGGAGGGCAAGCAGAGGAGATAGCTTTCAAAAAGGATGGGGGATGCCTCCACCCAGGGTCAGAAGGGAACATGAATGTAGAGACCAACCTTGTGAACTAAGATGAGGATAAGTAAAAGGTGGGTCCTTGATCTAGGTACAAAAGTCAAATCTAGCTCACCTCTAAGGGGTGAGGGTTTATAGTGGGGAGATATTTGGAATAGAAGCATGAGAAGTGATTGTAGGGAGTCAGCAAGAGATAAACATGAAGATTCTCCGGCATTATTGAGGGTCATGGAAAAGTTAGAAAATTTACCTGGAGTCAATCAACAAGGTTCCATGACTTCTCCAGAATGTTCCCAAGCAAAGGTGGGGGTTGACATGGTAGAGACCTAAGGGCCTGGGAGTGCACAGGACATTCATGAGAGCAGCCAAATGGCAGGGGCTCCATTTCTGCTACAGGGTGAAGGGTCAAGTGAGAGGGGCTCAGCAATGGGAGGTGGCACTGGAAGCCATGAATGGGCAAGAAGAGGTGAGAGGCAAGTTCATTCTTAGTGGGTGCCATGTGGTGTGATGGCGAGAGAAGAGGCTGATGAGGAACGGAGATGAGCGTCAGAAGAGCTGGAGATGATGGAGCACTGCAGCACAGAATATCAGAGAGGTTGTCAAAATCTGGATGGGCCAGATGATGAAGTCATTCAGAAAAAGGAACTGGGTCCCAAAGATGGGTTATCAAAGGAGGTAAGGATCTGATTAGGAAACTGTGAACCCCACGAAAAGAGGAGTTATGATTGTGAGCTAGTGGTTTGGAAAGGGCTGGAGTCAGATCAACGTTTCCTCTTCCTCCAGAGTCTACTTACGCCCATAGAAGAGATCAGTGAAGGACACAGAGGCATAAACTGGGGCAAGAGAGGAGAAACAGGGGGCTGGTGTGGGGCCAAGGTAGACTGGAGTAAAGTCTGACAAGTCAATATTTACTTATTTTTCCTGGAACTTTCACTTGTAGAAACAATGAAGTCAATAACAATACAGAGGATGTCCTTTATAAGCAAAGCACATAATCTTTGGCTGCTCATGGATGCAATTATGCTACATCACACAGGCTAGGATTTGAACATGCACCATTTATGGTACAATATGGTTGGCCCTACTTATGCCATTTCATCTGCATCATTGTCAAACACTACATCATTCCCATGGGCCCATATACAGCTACTGTTTTATAACAAGATCATCTTTTTCTAGAATTATTTCCATGATTGTTTAGCTCTCTCTAGCAATGGTGAAATACAGATTAGATTCAAAGCACTTAGGGATGTGTTTTTTTTTAATTCTGCCCCCCCCACCCACACATTTATGTTACCCTCCAACTACCCATTTTTGTTTTGTGAGTTTTTTCTCCCTATAAAAGTAATATATGCTCTTTTATAAAATACAAAATAATAGGAAATAATAACGCAAAAATCACCTAGAAGTCCAATATCCAGAGATCACCACTAATAATTACTTGGAGCATTTATGTTTAGTCTTTTTTTCTATACTTACACATTTACAAATACACATTTTTAAAAAATTGAGATATACTGTATAGTTTTGTGTCTTTTTCACATAACATCATATTGTAAGCACCTTCATTAATCTGAAAATATGATTTTTAACAATTATATTCCTTTGTGTGGGTGTACCATAGTCACTTAATTTTCCTAGGTTAGATATTTAGATTATTTCTAAAAATTTAACTATTATAAATAATGCTGTGTTAATATCTTTGCACTCTGATTTTTCTCTACATTTTCCATTATTTCTCTAGAAGAGATTTCCAGATGTGGAATTTTAGGTCAAAAACACACTTTTTCAAGAGAGAGAAATAATTCATGATGGCTTAAAAGCTATTAAAATCATATGGTTATGGTTTTTAAAAGTAGTATATTTGAGTAATAATTTTTTTTTTTCCCTCCCCAAAGCCCCAGTAGACAGTTGTATGTCATAGCTGCACATCCTTCTAGTTGCTGTATGTGGGACGCGGCCTCAGCATGGCCGGACAAGCGGTGCATCGGTGCGCGCCCGGGATCCGAACCCGGGCCGCCAGTAGCAGAGCGTGCTCAATTAACCACTAAGCCACAGGGCCGGCCCTGAGTAATAATTTTTAATTTATAATTTATATTTATACCATCTCTATCTTCTCAGGAGATTTGTTTTCTATTAAAAGCCATTCCACATAGAATAATATCAGATTTTTAAAATATGCCTTTTTTAAACCACTATTTTACAAAATATAAAGTATCTGTACTGCACTTACCTCCAAATATTGTTTTGGGGCAACCAGGTTGATCCAATCCTCCATTTGGGTAGAAGTCTATGTTTCCTAATGGTTCCTTGTAGCCCAGAGCTAAAAGAGAATATACTATGCTTCTATACTGCTTTGAACTTTTCACATCTCATAGCTCATTTGCCTACAGGATATAGGCAGGGATTGTATTATTATTGTTGTTGCTGTTATTATACCTATATAAATATTTTGCCCAAAGTTATCCAGCTAGTTAGAAAGCAATGATTTCCAACTAGGAGACCATGAAGATAGTAATGGAATTTATTTCCAATATTTCTAAAGACGTAAGAGAGGTTGGTTACTCATTAACTGTAAGGCTGATAAAATGATATGTTTCTTCTTTATATTTGGCTGGAACCCTTTAACTGCTGGGTGCTTCCTGAGCGTCTACCTGCATTTATGTAAGTTTTTAATGAACAAGAAACAGGAAAAAACAAAGTTTACTTAGTAGGAAAAATCTTTAAAAATTCAAGATCTAGGGTGGTAAAAAAATTGGAAACTCTTCTAGAAAATGGGAACCTAAAAACTATAGATAGATTTAATAATTGCTCATTCTCTTTAACCTTGTAACCCCAAAATAATGAGTAACATGTTTGATTAAAAGGATTATTTAGATATATGTATACATATATAGGGTATCATTGCAATATATATAGAGAGAACCTACATGTGTCTGTGGGCATGATATTAGGTTTCACACAGCTTTCTTCTAATTTTCACAATGTCTGAAAAGTGGCCATTGGGAAATTCAAATGAAGTAAGTTACAGAGGGAGATATTGAGACTCAGAGGACTTATGGAACAAACATGACACCACTAGAAAGAACAAATCCTGGGATTTGAGTCCACCTCTGCCTGACTGCAAAGCTCTTTCCCTCAAATTTCACTTTCTTTCCAAGGAAAAAAAAATAAATTACTCTATTCCATCAAGCATTAAAATGGCATTGAGGTACACACTTAAGTAAGGTAATACTTTGCAAACTACATAGTAAGAATGCAACTGTTTCACAGAGACATTTCTTATAAGGCAAACAGTTGTTGAATACCACACCTGAGTGCCCATGATAGGTGGCCAAGGGTTTTTCAGGTGGTTGTATCATAAAGAGAGTGTACTATTTAATCACCACTCTGCTCTGTCCCCTCAGCCGTCCCCAAGTTCCTACTCCAGTTCTTCTCTAAGACATCTGGATATAAGGACCCATCTTTAACATCACTCCAACCCCGATGCCATGTACCCAATCCCACATATGAAATCAGCACCATGAAAGACAGAAATGGCCAGCAAGATCCACAGAGAGCTAGAGAGCTATACAGGTGGTTCAGAATCATTCCACGTAGAGACAGAACACTTGAATGTATCTTTCAGCTTAAGAAAATAATGAGAAAGACCCAACAAAAACAGGAAATCATGCATCCAAACCCAGTTGCACATATGGAAACGATTGTCCACCTGGTGTGCAAATCAGCCTGTCCTTGATTGTTCAAGACGATCACTTTAAAAATAAGAGATGGTGGGAAAAGCAGCTCCACTCAGCAAGAGATCCTGGGTGCCGGCATTAAACCAGCTTCCCTTTAACATTTCTCTGGATTTGGCACCCTGCCTTGTAGGAAAAGAGGGAATCTGGAGGAACCTGATCCACCCCTGCATGACAATCCCCCCAGGGGGAGACTCTTTGGGAGTCTGGTGGGGGGTCACTGATCCACAAGGAAAGGAATGTTACCGTCAATGTCAGAATGGATGACGTCAACAAACTGTGCATCACTGGGATCTAATCTGTCCTCCAGAGGTCTCCCATTGAATAAAGGGCCCGCAGGGTCGAGACCTGGAAGGAAAACAGAGTCGGCTTGGCAGCCCCACGCCATGAATCACCTGCAGCCTGGCTTTTGATCCCTTTCCATGAGGATAGTTCACAGGCCACAGGACACCCTGGGGTGGGCAAGCCTTCACATTCCCATCCTGCTTTGTCAGACTCCTTTCCACAGTCCTGTGGCCTTTTCCCACAGTGGAGATGGTTACTCTGGCAGTGCCCCCTGAGAACAGCATCCAGACCCATCAGGAGGTATATCTTGTGCAGGGTTCAACAGCCGGGAGTGCACAGACATATGGGGACCAGGGGCGTGGGGATAAACCGGTTCCTCGGGAAAAAAGCACACAAGAGTGCATATAAAAAGCAGATGCTATACTTAATCTTTATCCCATTTTAAATGATCCAGAAACCTCACTCAACCTTTCCTTCTTGTCATTAATAAAACTTTACAGTTTTAATTCTTATTCATAAATACCAGCTCATATGATCCACATCACAAGCCTGTGAGGGAGGCAGCATAGCTATTATGAATCCCATTTTACAGATGCATGAACTGAGGTTCAGAAAGATCAAGTGCCATAACCAGAGCCACAGCCTCACCATGCAACCACCTGTCTCTGTTGAGCTCTTGGTTTCATTGCACTGGGTTTGGCCAGCTCAGTGGGAAAGTGTGAAACTCACTGGCCAGGGCAGGTATCAGACTAGATATCGAAGAGGAAATAAAGGACATGTCAATTCCTGCAGAATTAACCTACTCCATAAATGCCTGAACTGATTTCTTGCCCTTGGTCAACGTCAGCTGGGTGTTCCTCATCATCGTTATGAAACAGCTGGAAAAACAAGAGAGCAGCTCCTATGATGCTGTAGCCACAAACTAAAAACTTTAAACTAAAAAAAAAAAACCAAACCAACAACAAAAAGACACCAGAGGTGCCAAAAGGCCCTGCTTACTAGAAACCTACCCTGAGTGAAGAAGGGTTCAAGATATGTCTCAGTTTTTATCTATGAATGTTGTTTTAAATGACATCTCCCATCCCCTTGTGTTATAAAATCGAAGAGATGGCATCTTTGCCTCAACTTTCCTGTTCTAGCCTCAATGTCTCCATTTCTCCTCCCCCAACACCCTTTTGCATCCACGAGGTATGTCTTTATCTGCCTCCTTTCCTTATCTTTTTCTCTTTTTCCCCCCAGCTTTTCTTCCTCTTCTGTCTGCCTCCAACTAAAACTGATGTGGGAAGGGATGGATCAACATCCGGGCACCCAAGTCCTCAGGATAGTCTCAACACGGCATGAGAAACTCATAAGCTAGGAAAGAGTTTGCTGGGGAAGCGTCCCCCTGCTCATAAGACAGCACCACTTCCTGTCTAAGAAAATAAACAGCGAGAGCTCCAGTTTATAGCAACTTCCGGATCCATGGCGGATAAATAAATCGGCTTACTATATAAAGTCCAAACCAGGGCAATTTTGAAAGTGATAAGGGTGTTATTAATGATTATACCAGAACATAAGGCACAAATGGAGACTGTCACAGTAAACTTGGACATATGATCTCCTTAGTAATAAGTCACAGCAAATGATCAGCTTACTACGTCAGCCAAAAATCACAAACTGCCCTAAAAAGCTGCATATTTTGTGTGGGCAGAGACCTTTGGAGACAGATAGATGTGACATGGAGCCCCAAACCCAACACCAACAGCTGTGTGACCTTAGGCAGGTTACTTCACTTCTCTGAACCTCAGTTTCCTTATCTGCAAAATGGAGGTAGAATTAATAGCTACTTCAGAAGACTTATAAAAGGGCTCCTAGATCTGAATCCAGAATATTTTCAGATTATTATAGAATAGAAACAAAATGGGAAAATTGAGCTCTTTCTTGTTGCTCTAAGATCACCAGAAAAGTGTCTAGACAGTGATTCTTGGCTTTTATTGCAGCATTAACTAGTTTGAGAATTTGATGAAAGCTCTGGACCTCTCCCCAGGACAGACATCCAACATTTTGCATGCAGTCTCAGGAGCCTCTTACTCCCATCCCCAAGGTCACCATGAACTCTCTAAGGCAGTGCTGTCCAATAGAAATATATGAGCCACATATATAATTTAAATTTTCTAGAAGCCACTTAAAAAATAAATAAGGAAAATTAACTTTAATAATACATTTTATCTAACCCAGTATATCCAAAATATTATCATTTTGACATGTAATCAAGACAAAAAGTTTAAAATTTTTAAATTTTCTTTGTTTGAACTTAGTCTTCAAAATCCAGTGTGTATTTTGCACTTACAGGGTGTCTCGGTTTGCATTAGCCACATTTCAGGTGCCCAATGGCCACACGTGGCTAGTGGCTACTATACTGGACAGCACAGCTCTATGTCGTTTCTCAAAGTGTGGTATTCAGACCACCTGCATCTTCTCGTTAAAAGTACAGACTCCTGGACCCCAACCTCAGAGTGCTGATTCAGCAAGTCAGCATTGTAACCAGCACCCCAGGTGATTTTTACACATCCTTACATTTGAGAATCAAATTTAATGTATTATAAAGTGATTAGGCACTTGAAATATTTTTAAATCCATTCATCCCCTGCCATCGTCTGTTGAAGAAGTTAATGAGAGGTAAAACCAAGAGATATGCCTTGAGAAGAAAAACAAAAGGAAGGGCAGAAAAAAGGGAAATGGAAGGGATGGAGCAACCATTACAGCCTAGTAATTAACAAGCAGAACCGGCCAGTTCTTGGGAGTTGGGAGTGAATTGAGTCCTTGAGTAACAGGCCAAATTCCCACTCTACAATCCAGTAAGCCCATTCACGCAAGGCAGTGGGAGGTGAGTGAGGAAGGGAAACACTTTACCTTTGAAACTGCTCTCAGGGACGGCTGAGATTGACCTTGGGGTTCAGAGAGGATGAGGAATCAAGAGAACATAAGGAAGTCGGGGGAGACAGAAAATTGAGCTGTGAACCATTGGCTGGGTGCAGGTCACAGAGCAGGGCCACATGGGCCCAGGGTGGAAGGAAGGCTGGCTTGGGGAATTTCCATGCTCAGAGACCAGGTTACCTTGCTTTCACATTCAAAGTAGTCATGGGAACAGGTTTGCTGGGAGGCGAAGGAGCGAAACCAAACTGAGGGGAAGGGAGAGGTAGATAGAATAAGGCCTTGGTGGGCTGGAGACCCCTAGGACTAGCACTGGAGAGCAGATTTTGCTCATCTCTTCCCAAACTTTGTGGTCAGTGACGTCAGGTTGGTAGCTTGAAATCAGCCATGGTAGCGTATTTACACCATGGAAATCACCAAACAACACAAATTGGGACTTTTTTGGGGGGAGGTAGAGCTGGTCAACTTCTAAACACACAGCTGGGAAATGTCCCACCCACCAGAAGAGGAGCTCCCAACAGATAAGGGACACAAGCAAATTCAAGCCATCTGTCCTTTGTACCCATAAGAGAAAATGAAATTATTAAAAAGGACACATTGCTTTCTAAAACATAGTAATAACAATAATTTAACAAACAGAAAAAGAGCTTTGCCTCCCTAGGAAAGCAGGTAAATAAGAAGATGAGGGCAGCCTTGGCCTTTGGGGTGAAAGTAAGAAAACGCCAGCCAGAAAAAACAATGTGACCTCAAGTGCCCTGGGTTGAGGAGAAACCAGCCAATGTGGGATGTGTGTGTGTGTGTGTGTGTGTGTGTGTGTCTGAGAGAGAGAGAGAGAGAGAGAGAGAGAGAGAGAGAGAAAATGACTTGCCTAGGGCTACCTGTCACGTTAAGTAGCACATTCAGACTTGTGGTCCTAAAAGGTTACCTCCCAAAGTAGTTGGTTTGCATCTCTCCTTCCCCCCCGTTCACTTCTACCTTCCAAATTTCCTAAATTTAAGATAGCTATCTCTGTGCGAGAATGGATTCTGGGAAAGGTATGAACAGGAGAAGGCTTGAGTCTCTGAAAGAGAAAGCTTCCCTCAGCCCTTTGTTTGTAGCTGTGGAAAGTTACCAGAGCACTAAGCCAGGGAACTCAGCGAGGGAAGCTTTGTTTGGGGTTTCACTTGCTGTGTTTCTGAGGGTTTTCATTTAGCTTTGGCCCGAAAGCTGATATTTAGAGAGTAAGCCCCAGCCATCAAAATTCCCATCTCATTTTCCTATCATGAGACTCCAGCTGCGCCTGGGGAGGGAAACATATTAGGTATGAAGTTCAAGCTATCTTGGATTAAATGAAAAGAAGCGCACAATCAAATCCCCGTGGGACATAGCGGTTTTTCTAGCTGTAAGAGAAATAAAGTCACCACCAATCTTTTCTACGGCATATACAATTTACAAAGTGCTTTGCTCATATTTTATTAAATAATATCCTCAGGTCAATATTATTATGGTCCTCCCTTCGCACAAGAGGACATACGCTCAGAGAGGTTAAGTAATTGGAAGAGCTGGCTTCAAACCCAAGGACTTGGGTTTCCCGCATCATGCTCCCCCAGTGAACACCCTGCCCAGGCTGACCACCCCATGCCCACTCACAGGAAGCCTTACCTGTAATTCTCCCCAGCTGCCCACCGTACATCTCTCCAACAAACCCGGATATGTGGGCTCCTAGGCTTACTCCAATCATGTAAATGTCATCAAGAGAAGCTCCTGCTGCCTGGAATTTCAAGAGGTCCATCGTTATAAATTGTGAGGGGCCAAGGAGTTGACAACATTTGGAGAGAGTTCTTAACTGTTGACTTTGGGGAAACATTTCTAGGCACCGTATACCCATTATCTCATTTAAATGTCACAACACCTCGCGAAGTAAATATTATTCTTTCAATTATACAGATGAGGAAACTGAGGCCTAGAGTTGAAATAATTTGCCCGAGGTCAGGCAGTTGGGGAGGGGCAGAGCAGGATTCAAACCAGTCTGTCCAACTCCAAACCTGTGCCTTAACCTTTATGTCGTGGTGTCTCCATTCATGCTTCTGCTAGAAACCAAGCCAAGACATCTTTAAAACCTTCCCAGTCAGGGATAAGGGCACTAAAACATGTTGATAAGCTCCTTTATCTTCATGCTGGCTCAGTTAATGAAGTCACCATGGAGAGGGAAGAAAAGAAGCAAAGAGAGTGGGGGAAGGAGGGACAACATTGACCATAGTCTGTGGGTACAGCCTGTCACGAGTCATTTTAATATTCACATTCCTAGGGCTGTGGCTTAGGTGGAGGAGCTCATGTAAAACTTATGCCACCCCTGGCCTCAGTGGCCATCAGGCCTGACTCTCTCTGAAATAGTCCTGACATCAAGTCACTTTTTTTTTCATAAAAGGGGCAATTAACGAGATAGATCACTAAATAAAATTTAAGATTTAACCTTTGTAAGTCTTCTAAAAACATAAATCATATACACACAAATGTCCCATCAGACCATGTGTATCAGATTTGTAATTTTTATTTATTTATTTATTTGTTTATTTTTCCCCCAAAGCCCCAGTAGATAGTTGTATGTCATAGCTGTACATCCTTCTAGTTGCTGTATGTGGGATGCGGCCTCAGCATGGCCGGAGAAGCGGTGTGTTGGTGCGCGCCCGGGATCCGAACCCGGGCCACCAGTAGCGGAGCACGCGCACTTAACAGCTAAGCCATGGGGCCGGCCGCATGTGTATCAGATTTGGTTTTGCATAATCTGATCACTAGACTTTTGGAATTTCTAAGAAAAGGAATAGCTTATAGAAGTTAAGGAAGCTGTATGCATTGAAGCCAGGAAACCCCTAGACAGAACCTCTCCTACTCAGAAGACACCTATATGTGAATTAGAAAAAGATGTGCCTTCTTGAGGACACTCTGCTATCACTGGAAAATTATCATAATAAAATATATAAATCCACAGTGTTTACAGTGACAGTGGTGCTTCCTTAGATGGGTGCCCTAACAGTGCACAACATGCACAACCATACCTATGGGCATTCCCTCCAGCCCTTCCCTCCACCTTCTCTGGGGCTTATTCAGGTTTGCAAAATAGTTCCCCTGTTCACATGTTCGCAGATGTTCGCAGACATCTCTTGGCTTTAAATCTCCAGATAATGGGCCTGTTTCAATTTCGCCCTGAATCGTCTGAGAGAATTCTTCCTTACCAACATCTGGTCGATAAATTCCTTCAAGATTATTGCTACTTTTCTGGTATTACTAGAGGCGTGGGGGTATATTATAGTTGTAGCTCCTCGATTCCAGTCAACAACGACCACATTCATGTCTTCTACAGACAGCAAACTCTCTACTAAGTCCCCCATCCAAACTGGAGGGGAGCCTGTCGGCCTGAATCCATGGATGATGAAGGTGGTTTTCTTGGTCACGTTCAAGTTCCCCAAAGCTGTGGAGTTGATGATTTGTGCACAGGTCAGATTTCTCCTTGTGTAAAGCAACAACTTCACATTTAGTCCCGTACCAACCACCGCACTATGAAAGCTCAGTCTGGTGAATGAAGGACATGTTTCTTCTGTGTCTGAAAATAAAAATTAGATGGCATCATGACAGTTCTTTCCTTAGCTGGGCGTCAAAGTCAGAGTGCTGTCTTATAGTCACTGGAGTTCTTTCTATGTACCTTACAGCATCTAGCAGGAGGCTGGATCTAGTTGAATGAAGTTGCAAAGTCATACCTGATTCAGAGTTCATAAGTAGTGACTTCTTTTTCACCAGGAAAATCATTTTTCCAAATCCTATCCTCCTTCAAGGTCTAACCCAAAAGTCACCTCAGTGAAGCCTTCTCCAACTCTTCCAGCCATAAGTACTGTCCTTCATCCAAGAACTCCCAAAACCCCTTCATGTACCTTATTGACAGCACAATGAAAACATTTCCGGGGTGTACTATGGGTATTTATGTACATGCATGTCTATCCTGCTAGATCACAGTCTCTCTGGAAAGGTGTTTTATAATTCTGTGTCTCCCTCGTAACGCCCAGCACGTGGTAGATGACTCTAACTGAATCTGCACAGTCTAAGCGCCTCTTTCCTTGTCTAGAGCACCCTCCTGGGACGGTGGTGAAGAATGTGATGTGCCTTGCCCTGAGCTTTTTAGTAGCATCTAAAACCATTGACCAGGGTTGCCTTTCTTGGACGCTCTCCTTCTTTGCTCCTCAAGCATTCATCTTGCTGAGTAGGCTCTAAGGATGGCCCTTAGAAGAAAGGTTGGGGATGTAGAGGGAAACAGCATAACAGGAGCCTGGAGCATCTCTTTATGGCAGAGAGTAAGGGAGTGTTTAAAAACCTGTTACAAGGACACAGGAGCCAGCTTGAAGGGGATTCTGCTGGCCAAATTTGGGATAATTTGAGCACAGAATAATCAAGGACAGTAATGAATTATAGGCATTTGAAAAAAATTAAGAATCCGTGATTCTGTAACAAATAGATAGATAAACAAAGAAACAAATAAATGGAGGAAAGGGGAAAACTCTTACAGTACAATGCTGAATGCCAACTGGTAAATGTGGAGTGAACGCTAGAGTTGAAACTCATCATTTTGTAACCGTCATAATAAAGATTGGTCAGGCAAGAATCATCAATGGATGCTAAATGGATGGGGAGGATTTTGAGGAGGCGCATATGTGTATGGTCTTAAAGTATCTCCCACAGATTGCTTATTAGCAAAATAGTAACTACATGGTGGAGAAATTGAACAACACTTTGACTGGGTTATCAAACTGAACATCACCAATGAGAGGCAGAAGGATATTATGTGACTCTAGCTGTAATGCACTGAGAAGGACACAATATCACCCAGGTAGTATTCCAGTGGGGAATACATAACCTGAATCTAACCATGAGGCAAAATCAGACAAATACAAAATTAGGAATATTCTATTTTTTTTCAAAAGGACCTGTATTCTTAAAAAAGATCAATGTCATAAATAAAAAAGAAAGGCTGTGGAAATGTTCTAGATTAAAGGAAACTAAAGAGACAGGATAAATAAATGCACTATCTGGTCTTAGACTGGATCCTGCAATGGAAGAAAAGAAATGTTATAAAAGAAATTACTGAGTCAATTGACAAAATTGGGATATGGACACTAAATTAGATAAAACTGTGGTATCAATCTTAAATTAATTAGTGAGTGAGGTTGATAACTGTATCATAGTTATACAAGAAAAAAATCCTAATTCTTAGGAAATACAACTGAAGTATGTATAAGTAAATGGTCAACTTATTCTCAAATGGTTCAGGAAAAAAAAAAAAAATTAAGGGAGGAGAGACAGACAGCAAATGATAAAGCCTACATAGCAAAATGTTTCCAATAGGTGAATCTGTGTAAGGGTTATTGGTGTCCTGTGTATTTTTTTACTCTTGTAGCTTTTCTGCAAGTTTAAAATTATTTCCAAGTAAAACACTTAAATAAAAGGAAGAAGAAAGGGGGCAGGGCCATGTCAGTGACACACAAAGTGGGAGGGAGGCTGTGAGTCCTGATACCAGAAAATGAAAGTAGATAGGAATGCTTAAGACTTCTGCTTAAAGGGGAACAGGGAGTTGGAAATAAACTAAAGATCAAGTTGCAAGATGAAAGAGTGGGTAGGAAGGGAGGAAGGCTTGGGGGTCCTTGGGTATTGACCCAGTGTTACTTTTTGCAGCATGATATGAGGCCTTGAACAAGAACCATGATCAAATAAAATAAAAGTAAACCTCCAATCCACATTGGTATAATGATTGAGAAGACTGCGTTTTTTTTTTTTTTTTCTTTAATTATAGGAATCCCACATCCTGCTTGGCTGAGAGAATAGCCAAGGAGGAAGTGAAGTGGAGCACACACAATCCCTGGCTGTAAGCTGGAGATGGTCCTTTAGATACTCAGGAGAGGGGCAAGGCCCTATGGATGCCCATTCTCGGGGGGAGGGAACAGACAGGGAAGACTGTTGACTTGGAACTGGCCAACAGAGGATGAGAGTGCCACGGGAACCAAGTGTTCTGAATTTAGTCCTCCAATTGGAATTTAGGAACCATTTGCCCTTGGACCCCTATTCTCAGTGAATTTACACTTGCACACCCAGGAATTGCTCCTTTCTCATTCTGAGCCTCAGAGTAGCCTTCATCCTGGGGTCTCTACCCTGTCTTAATAACTTGGATCCATTCATGTACGCTTCTTACAGAGGCTCTAGTACCCAGGAGTGAGTGAAGTTCCAAAATAGAATGAGCAAAAGAAACTCAAATAGAAGGTTACAAATTAAGGAGGCTTTGGGCCGGCCCAGTGGAGCAATGGTTAAGCCTGGCATGCTCTGCTTCAGCAGCCCGGGTTCGCTGGTTTGTATCCTGGGCACAGACCTACACCACTCATCAAGCCATGCTGTGACGGCGACCCACATACAAAATAAAGGAAGATTGACGTGGATGTTAGCTCAGGGACAATCTTCCTCACACACAAAAATATATCTATATTAAGGAGGCTTTGAAATCCCTCACCTTAGAAAATAGTGGTTAAAAACTGACCCCCCTGACCCAGTGGTGTAGCAGTTAAGTTCTCACACTCTGCTTCAGTGGCCCAGGGTTCGCAGGTTCGGATCCTGGGCATGGACCGATGCACTGCTCGTCAAGCCATGCTGTGGCGGCATCCCATATAAAGTAGAGGAAGATGGGCACAGATGGCCCATGGCCAATCTTCCTCAGCAAAAAGAGGAGGATTGGCACGGATGTTAGCTCAGGGCTAATCTTCCTCACGGGAAAAAAAAAAAAAAACTGAGCTCCAAACTTACACATTCCTCCTTTCACTCCACACTGTTAAGCAGAGTGTAAAATGAGGCATGCTCACAATGTAAATACTGTGTTTCTTCCCTGTGCCCCCCCAGCTTTATTGAGATATAATTGACAAATAACATTGTGTAAGTTTAAGGTGCATAATGTGATGATTTGACATACGTATATATTGTGACATGACCACCACAATAAGGCTAGTTGTTAACACATGCATCACCCTGCATAGTTACCTTTTGTTTGTGTGTGGCAAGAACACTTAAGATCTACTCCCTTAGCAAACTTCAAGTATACAATAAAGTATTGTTAACTACAGTCACCATGCTGTGCATGAGATGCCAGAACTTGTTCATCTATGTAAATATTTTCTCTATCTGTTGGCCTCTTTCATTTTTCTCTTCCTGTAGATTGCATGCTTCCGGAGAATGGGGACTGAAATTTGTTTACTGCTTGTAGAGCAAGTCCCAGAGTAAGTAATTGACTGTTGAATTAGTCTTTTTATTGAACAGGAGATATCATGGCGCAGGGCTGAGCCTCTCGGTCTTAGCCATCATCAGTAAAACTGGGTTTTGTTCCTGGTTGTGTGACTGACTCACCAGGTGGCCTGGGGAAATTATGTCATCTTTCACTTGCCACCTACCAGCCCAAGAGAGGAATGCTGCAGAGATTATGAATGAGGTCATACTGGGGAAGATAGAGATCCCTTTCCAAGAAGAGGACTGTTTAATTACCGTGTCTGTGCATTTTGAGTTGAATGAGCAATATTAATAGGTCAGTGTGTCAAAAGTCACATATCTGAGTCCGTAAAGGCTCAGAGAAGAGTCACAAAGTTTGGGCCAGAGATATTTTTCAACAGCAACTGCCAACTTTAATATCCATAAAATGGCTCAACCAACCTCCTTGACTTGCTGCGTCTTTACTAGAAGCCCTTAAAATGGACAGTTACTGAAAGGCAAAAAGGGCAGAACAAATGGATTTTTATTTTTCATTTGATAGAACCACTCTGATTTCATATGTTTTTAATATCTTAGTTATTTTTATAATGGCATTGTGTTCTGGAAAAGTCCATTGTAAGTACTGGCTGAAAAACAGATTTCCTTGTTCCTCTCTCTCAGTACTAAATATTATAACAGTTTTATATATATTATCTCTCATCCTCAGAGGAAATGTGCAATTCATTCAACAAGGTTCTGTGTCAGGTAGTATTTTAGAGAGTCAGGCATTAATGAAATAAAACACACAAATAAGTATAAAATTGCAACCTGTGGTACATGCCACATAAAAGAGATGTGGTATAAAATGAGAATTTAATGGGCCGGCCCCAGTGGCTTAGTGGTTAAGTGCGCGAGCTCTGCTACTGGCGGCCCGGGTTCGGATCCCGGGCGCGCACCGACGCACCGCTTCTCTGGCCATGCTGAGGCCGAGTCCCACATACAGCAACTAGAAGGATGTACTGCTATGACATACAACTATCTACTGGGGCTTTGGGGGAAAAAAGGAGGAGGATTGGCAATAGATGTTAGCTCAGAGCCGGTCTTCCTCAGCAAAAAGAGGAGGATTAGCACGGATGTTAGCTCAGGGCTGATCTTCCTCACTAAAATAAAATAAAATAAAATAAAATGAGAATTTAAATAGGGAGTTTGGCCTGGTCTGGGAATCAGGAATCTTCTTCTCTTACATCATCTGGAAATTATGTATCTAAATACCAACAATGGGAATTTCCTTTGCAAAGTATAACAATGTTACACTGAGGAGAAAATTCAAGTTCC